TATAAGAGGTCAAGCGAGTAATTAAAATAATATTTATTGCCTTGCGGAGAATTTACATATGAGTTTATCTCGTTTTGATCATTAAAAAATTCTATTTCAACCAGTGCAATACATTCTTAACTAACGATGATTCCTCCTTTCCACCTGTGGATCTTTATTCAACGCTTTTACTAATTTAGTAATTTTATTAGACTTGAATGCTTAATCGCATTCTACTACGAAACACTAAACATTTTATTCATGGTATTAAAAATTCTTCGTATAGATTTACAAAAGGGATAAACAAAAATACTCATTTTTCTTTTTTTTTCCTTTTTTTTTTTAACTTTTAATATAAATCTGCACCTGTCGACGAATGTTGACAGTCAGCATATGGTCTAATTGAAGTTAAGAAACTCTGGTATGCCAGAGATGGGGAAGGATAGCACCCAGCAGTACCTCTTCCCTGGATTGAATCAATTCAATGGTTTGTTAAGGAATCAGGTCTCTCATCCAGCGCTTTTCGTTTTCCTCCTTTCGTGGGCATGTCAGCTGAAGTCATATCTCTGATTAGTATATTAGTATGTCCGTGTAATTGTTGTGAAATCGTTTGTAAAGAGTTCTTATTTGTTGGTGAACTGTAGGCAGGAGAAAGTCGCTATGTGAGGTTTTGTTTGTCACGTAACAGGGTGCTTAACTTATAAGTCGTAATGTTTTTTATTAGAAACTTTGTTTGTGTAATTTGGTCTTTTTGCAATACTGAATATTTGTGAGGAGTAAGTTCATATTGGTTTAAGTATGTATTTAGTTTCTGTGTTAGTTCTAGTTTTGATGATTTGGAAAAAAGTGAGTAAAGTACCCGAGATAACGTACAGTGTCCGTCTAAGGGGTTTGGTTGTCGTCTATATAAACGGGTAAGGATATGTCTAGTCGAAGCGTAAATGTTATATGTTGTGATTTTGTAATAATTTAATCTAAGTTTCCAAAGTGAACACCAATTTTATAATTTTAGTAAGTGATTTTATTAATTCAGTGAGGATAGTCTCGGGTCGTGGTGTTTTGTTAAAATTGTTTTATTATCGTAAGCGTAAAAAAATCAAGTTTTAAAAATTGTAATGCGGAAACAGCTACTAAATATAATCATGTTTTATAAAAAATATTTCTAAACATATCTCGTTTAGAAATATTTTGTTTTTAATGGGGTTTCAAATATTACTTAAATATCATTTTTCAAATAAATACTTTTAAATTAATTCAAATTCTAAGAAAGATACCAGCAAAAAAATTAAAATGTATTTAGAAAACATTTTTAATATAGTATCCATGTTTACCTGTATTTATGTTATTATTTTGATAAGTTTAGATTCGTTTTATTTGTATATATTTAATTTTAGGATTATTATGTTGCCGGTTAATTTATTTTTATTTCTTGTTCATAGAGTATGATTGAGCTAATCTATTACTATTACAAATGTTATTGAATGTGACGAAATATAATATTACTCAATAAAGAAATGTGTTTTATAAATAAAAAATAATTTTGATTTTTTTACCTTCTTCATCACGTATTTTATTAATTCTCTTATTTGCCGTTAATCGATATCAATGTCAAGATGTCAATAAGACAGGTAGCGAAAGAATTAAGAATTAGGCGGATAGAGGGTATTAGGTTGCTCAAGACAGCCTAAGCCAGTAAGCCGGCCCCCGGGGTACAATACTACTGATTACTTACCCCCGCGCAATCCCACCTCTAGTGTGCCTGTAGCTACCTTATCTATTTTACTTAAGCTCCTCCGTTTCACTTTACAAATTGACAATGGGTAATACGACAGGTTGTGTCCCGTATACAAGATTTTTTTTTTTTAACAGCACTATTTTTTTATCATGGGTGATAAATATTCAAGACGTAGTCATTATAAAGATTTTATTTTTGTCTACATTTCAACCTAAACATGTGGGTCATCATCGTGTTTCGAGCACTGAAGGTATTCAAGTAGTCGAGACACGCTCTGATGATGAACCACATGTTTGGGTTGCAACGTCAGCAATAATAAAACCTTTGTAATGACTGCGTCTTTAATATTTATCACCCATGATATTTATCACCGGTCAGCTAACTTCCTTCAATACTACTTTTTTACTATAGAGAAACGTTTCCATAAAGATACCTTTTTTATTTATTTTTTTGTTAACTTGGTTCTTCAACTCACATCTGTCAGAAGTTTCGACAATCAGCGAGTGTTATGTCAAGATGTAGAAAATTGGTCTTGGGATAGGCGTGAGGGAGAGGAGTACCCAGCGGCGTCCTTCCTGTCTTGAGTGTAATATTTATAGTTAGTGGAGGAGATCCCTCATCCAGCTTCTTTTAAGCCTCCTTCGGGTGCTATCGGGCATGTTAGTTGTGGCCATGCCTCGAATCAATGAGTTTGTAGGTCCGTGTAAGTTATTATGAAAGCTTTTGTAGTATGTTCGTATGTGGTCGTTAACTTTTGGCATCTGTAAGTCTTTATGTAGAGTAATGTTACTGACGTACCAGGGAACTTTGGTGATAGTCCTGAAAGTTTTAGATTGAAAAGTCTGTAATTTACGTATGTGGATCTTTTTGGCAGCCCCATATATCTGTGAAGCGTATGTCTAAATAGGCTTGAGTAGGTAAGTATATTTATTCAATTTCTGTCTAAGTTTTAATTTAGAATTTCTTGCAAGGAGTGAGTACAATAGTCGTAGTCTTAGGTTTAGAGTTTTTGTTTTGTTTTTGATATGTTGGCCTCATGTCATTCTTCTGTCAAAGGTCTGTCCAAGATATTGAACTTTGTCCGTTTGAGGAATTTGGATATTGTCAAGGTAAATAGGGGGGCAAGTTTCACGTCGAAGGGTAAAAGTGATATATAGTGATTTGTCTTGGTTGAGCCAAATTTTCCAGAGTTTGAACCAGTCGTAGAAATTGTTTAGGTGAAATTGTAGAGTCGGTGAGGCGTATGTTGAATTTTGATGTCTTGTCAAGATTGTTGTATCGTCTGCGTAGGTCGCGGTCAGAGTATCGAGAGGATCTGGAATATCATATGTGTAAATAATACACAAGAGAGGAGCTGACCTCTGAGGCACTACTAGGGCTGGTTTAATAGTAGATAGTTCTGTACCTTGGCAAACAGAGAAAAATCTGTCAGAAAGAAAAGATTGAATAATAAGATAGTAGGTTGGAGGGAGTATAGTATTAAGTTTGAAAAGAAGTCCCTGATGCCAGACTTTATCGAACGCTTGAGCAACATCCAGATATACTCCTGTTGCATATAATTACTCTAAGACTAAAAATCTCTAAATGATTCAATTGAATAAAAATTATTGTAATTAAAAAAAAAAAGAACTACATAAATTGTTGGGGCCAGGGGTACTTCAAAATTGAAGTACAATTCTTTCCCCGGTGCGTTTCCTCAACGGTGGGGAAAATTCGAGCAAAATCAAAAATGTTGGGAAAGAAGGAAAAAAAATAAAAAGAGTGAAATAATGAGACGTGTAAAACATTAGAGAAAAAAACAAATGCATGCAAAGAAAATATTAAAAAATAGAAATATTCAATAAATCAAATAATGGAAAAATGAAAATCCCCTTTTGAATGCTCACAATTTATTGAGATAAAAAAAATCTAATTATGTACAAGAGTTAAATAAATATTGGTGTAAAATTGCGATAAAATAAAACATAATTATAATATGCAGAGAAATTAAACCAAATTAACCATTAATAGCCAAATATAAATAAAACCAACTTCTAAAATTATAGTAAACTAAGGGAAAAAAAGTGTCTGTGGTAACGGTGAGAGAAGAATATCCCAAATTGGAGGCTATATTTCCAAAGAGGTTAGTTACCTGAAGTTCAGCTGTCGATGGTGGGGGGATCGATATGCATATCGATGCGCTGATCGATGACTCGCGATGATACAGCTGGGACCTTCAAAATGGCGCAGGTGAGGTGACAATGAGCCTGGAACTTGGTGAAAATGGTGGGGGTAGACTTCTGCTCCATACGAAAAGTAGTTCCAGACTGGCTTAAGACTGCATCCCGACAGTACTATGGCATTATTTGTGTCTTAATCCCTAAGACTGGGTATTACTGCCGGGCTGGTGTGTATACAAATGAGCGATAATACATCGCAAACGAAGGCAGATATAAACTTTAATATATTTTAGGGACAATATTCCCTGGCCTATTACAAAAAAATAATAAATATTCATTCCATTATTCACACTAAAAAGGGGTAATGGTGAGAAAAAATAATAATTAAAAAAATAAAGAAATGAGCGTATGCGGCGTTAACATAAATAACTTTATCCGTCTTAAGGGACGGAAAAGGGTGCATATCTAAATAGAAGTATTATTGGGGTTTTAGTTAATGTTTATGAATATGGGAACTTGATGAATCAGTAGTGTGCCTCCGATGATACAACTCTTTCTGTTGCAGTCATCTATATATGTCAATATTCAGAAAGCTCCAGGAATCGCATGTTGTGTAAATACGTATAAGGTGAATATCTACATACCAAAGTAACATATTCATTGATAATTCTTTTGATTCTCTTGAGCTATCGTTTGCAATATATTGCACTTAGACTGCCTGAAACTCTCCTAAAATATTTCAAATCATTTTTTGAACTGTCAAACAGAAAAGTAGTACAGTATACGTATACGAGTATATGTAACAGAAGGAGGAGCCACTTAAAGACATATAAGCTATAGGAAGGTAAAGACTGAAAAAGGATATAAAATGGCCTACATTTGTAGAGGGGATAGCTGATCCCTGGATCCGAACTGGGGTAAGGCGACTATAAAGCCGAGTATTATCTTTTACACCCTTATTTGTCAGGAGGTGCTCAACATCCCCTTCTTTACGATCTTCGTACCTGCCCCTCCGGCCCACACACCACAATGAGTTATACGCCTCCATAAAAATATACTAAAGTGGGTTTTATTGCGTTGAGAGTTACGATCAATAGCTACCTGTGTAACGGGGAAAGGGATCGCCAATGATTTCGTTATTCTTTCTTATTGGTGAAACCTGGCACAGAGAGGCTATCAAAAAGGTATTTTGGATTAGTTGAGTTGTTTTTCAATCCTCTTACAGGGTTCTATATCTTTAAAATAAATTTATTGTCTAGCTTTTCATAAATCAGTTGAATCATGTATATTTTGTTGTTTATGATCAAACATTTATGTTAAATATGCTCCTTCAATAATAAATGGGGAGGTGTCTAAAACCATTGAAATAAAAAATGGACTGAGACAGGGAGATGTTCTAGTGCCTATGTTGATTAATCGTGTGCTTGATAATGTAGTAAAGAACATAAAGGTTATGGAGAATGGCACTATCATAAATAAATCTCAACAAATAATGGCATACGCAGATGTGGTGATTTTAGGAAGAAGCAAGAAAGAAATTGAGGATGCGTATGCTGCCTTAAGGAGGTTAAGACAGGAGGCAACAAGGGCTGATTACGAAATAAATGTTGGAAAAACGAAACTAATAGTCATCGAAGAAATCAGACGAAAACACCCACTAAGCTATGAAATTGCCGGAGAAAACATAATTAGTTTCGGCTTTACCGTATCTAGGATCTTTAATGACAAATGAATTAGAGGAAGTTAAAAGAAAGAACCTAGCAGGAACCAGAGCTTATTTTGCACTTAGGCACATAGTTAATACTTTAACTATATACTGTTACTACATATAATGTTACTACATTATATCTCATAAAGTTAAAAATTCGTATGTATAAAACCCTGACCAGACATATGTGACAGGTTCGAAAGGAGGATGCTGCGAGGAATGCTTGGTGGTGTCTATAAGAATGCGGCTCGGTGAAGTAGGAAAAATAAAGAGATTTATGATCTTTATTACGACCTTCAATTGTGAAATGTGATAATAATGAATAAGATGAAATGTTACGGTCTTGTCAACCGAATAAATGAAGATGATGGTCTACACAGGGAATCTTCGCCACTAAACCAAAAGAACGACCAAGGGCACGATGAAAGAAGGTGGAAGAGGACATGCGACTGACAGGCATCCGGATGGTGGACGGCAGAACTCAGTGGCAACAGATGATAAAGCTGGCCAAAGATCACTTCGTTCTGTTGTGCCAGAAGAAGAAGATGATGATCTTACAATAACATTTTTCGGCTCGATTTTATAGACCTAATTTTGTTTTATGTATTATATAGAAATCATAATTCATTTCATAATAACTTCATGAATTATAATTTTTTGTGTATGATAAAATCATCTGAATTAAAAAATGTTCAGTTTAGTGATTTGCAGGCAATATTAGAAACAAATAAATGTATAATGTGAGTCTAAACAAAAGATTATAACCACATGTTTTAGGTAGTTATATGCTCGAGGCGTAACAACTATTCTGATAAAGTCGGATCGTTTGTTTACTTAATGTAACAGTATCTATAATCGATGTAACCCTTATTTGAAATTTTCTATAAGCCCTTAAAATTGCATTATGATCCTTATATCTATGAAATTGTGAGATGACGAATAAATGGAATAAATGATGAATCTTCATGAGTTCTATTCTAAAGTACTTTTAATTCTGTTTTTTATTTGTAATAATCACACTCTTTCATTGTTATTAGTAATAGAAAAATATAAATATCAACCATGAATGAATTCAATAATTAAATACAACCGATAAAAATCATTAATAGTACCTAATATTGATGTGTATGTACCTAGAAACAAAATGATCTTTGTAAAGATTTATTTTCAGATTGACAAAACAAAATTCAATATTGTGCAGGATTTTTGTATTATATAACGACTACTTGGCATGCGCGAAAGATCACATTCTATATTGGTCAGTGAACAATTGACAATATAATGTAAAAGTGAGTTAATGCAATGTGTGATGAGATAAAGGAAATGTTTTGTTTTTAGTCAAAATTAATTAGTTCGTTTATAAAAAAAAAAAAAAAAAAAAAAAAAAAAAAAACGTGTACCTTACAATAAACATTATTTTTGCTAATAATGATGTATTTTTTTTTTTTGTTTTGCAGATAATGAATTAATTATTAAAATATTATAAATATTGGTTTAATCTAGAAAAAAGTATACTTTTTGAGTTATTCGCAAATAATGTTTCCTTTCATTTATAAATTTGTTCGCTGAAATTTGGAAGATATTTTCTTAGGATTCATCACTTCTTCATGAAATTTCCTTTCGTTTTATACTTCATTCATCAAAATCCATTGCTCGCTATACTGAAAGACAACCACTAAGAACTACCAGTGGAAGACTACAATAGAAACGCTAGCGCAATATATATATATATATATTATTAGAAAGCATAATGAACACAAACCAGCCTTTGAGGAAAGAAATCCAATTAATTAATTCTGGACCAATCAATATATTATATATAATATATATAATACTTCCAGTTAATTTAATATACTTAGTGTTTAATAATTTCAAATCAATGTAGGTGAAAGCTGTATAATGCGCGCATCGCTCTAACTATTTATAAACTCATCATTTATAGGCGACATTTATGAGAATTTATTTTATTTTAATATTGTACTAGTGTTTCACACTTTTAGTGCTCCGCGTTATAATACAATATTTATTATAATCACGTTTGAAGGGCCAAAATATTGATTAAAATATCGGATGCCTGTAAAAAATAATTGGACATTTAAGCGAAACTTTAATAACATTTTTATAACGGATTACTTCGTTGAGACGATTAATTTAGTTTATCATTGCAAATCACAATCAAATGATTGTAAAAAAAACTGTCCATATTTTTCTCTCAATTTTTTTTATATTTATTTCTTATTTCGGACGACTACTACAATGTTTCTTAAAAACGTGTTCAATATTTCAATAGGATAATAATATTTTTTATATTCTACTGGGTTTCCTACATGTAGTACAATATAGTGAGACCAGCTTGGGAATAATATATTTTATTTTCGATTTATTTTTCGATTTTATTTTCGATTTATTTTTCTATTTTATTTTCGATTTACTTCTCTATTACCATTTATCCTTTTCGTCCGTATTATAGGAAAGCTGTTGATATGTTCTCCTCCTGGAAACTGTTTTGGAGATAGATTCCTGGACAGCAGCTGGGGGTGGCCTGGCGGGGACAGTGCTTCCTCGGCAGTCCTTTCTTATTTCACGCCCCGGCGACCACCCCGTCCACAAATAGGCTTCATCATTTCTTCTCCCTCTCTTAGGCACCGCTCTAACCATCCGGTGTTATGTCCTTTTGTCTCCCCACAATCTTCTATGTCTTTATTAGATAGAGGAAACTTGTTTGTAGTGATTAACATACGTTATTGGATATATTATAAACTAATTGTGGAGTATGGGAGTACACTGACTAAACTTCATATCGGCCGGGTGTTTAACGGGTGCTTGACACAAAAATAACGCGCATTGAGACAGTTCTAGGCTTGGTAACAAAAATTGTAATATAGTTAGGTCTGTTTATGGAGGATGAGAAACAAGTGAAGAAACCGACAGACAAATATTAGGAGACACGGAGACGAAGATCGAAGAAGGTTAATCTGATTCTGAAAGGAAGAAAGAAAAGAAAATTGTATTGTGAGACGTTTAGTCTCCTTAAAATAATTATAATGTCCAATGAAGTGATATTTTTCTCGCATAGAACCAAGAATTAATTAAATTACATAGTTATGGAACCTTAAAATTAAAATGAAGGAAAAGCATAAGTAAAAATATGAAATAATAGAGGGTAGGGTAGAGGGTTTAGGGCGATAAATGAAATTATAGATAAATATATAACAGTTTGTTCACACTTGTGTACTATTAAACAATGTAAATTAAACTGTAGATGTCTGTAATATAATAGTAAATTTAGGCTAACATATCTAAATACATAAATATTATTTTCAAATATATTTGGAAAATTTATTGCTGAAATTGTGTTTAAATGATGTTAAAGGTGAGGATTTTTGTATAGAAGTAGGGAATTTCGAAATAAAATAGCACGTATGGAAAAGGATTTATTAAAGGTAACAGTTCTGTATGGTGGAATTAACAGTTATGTGGTCTGGGACCTCGTGTTGAACGGACAGAAGAGCAAGGAGTAAACAAACGACGAAGATAAGAATTTTTTTTTTATTGTAAAGATTCAAAATGGAACTTTTAATAGACGAAGTAATAATACATGTTATTCTGCAATACATTTATGAAAATAAGGGAATAAGGGGGGAGGGAGTATTGTGAAAACTTTTAACCTACTCAAAATTCGAAAATAACAGACGCACCGTTCTCTGTGGCTAATGAATGTCTAAACAAGTATTTGGAGATCCAAACGCTATCGGATACTGTAGCAGAATGCAATACAAATTTTTAACAGAGACAGGCTTGCAATATGAACTCATTAGCCCAAACATTCAGTTATATCAAAACACCGGAAATAATAGCCCCATTAATTTTAAGGTTTTGGCCAAGAGATGTTTTAACTTGACCTCTATACGAAAATGTGTAAAGATTGGCTTATTTAAAAAAAAAACTTCGAAAATTTTATGTCTGACAATTTTTTTTTTTTTTTTTTTTTTTAATAAAAAAGGAAAACTTAGTAAACTGACACAATACACCTTTCAGGATGAAGATATATTTAAAAGAAGTGTTCGCTCAAAGTAAATATATAGGTTAAAGTAAAATAATTTAAATTTGACTTTATAGAACATTCAAATAACACATAATTTTAGTTAATATAAACCTGTTTTAACACAGTAAAAACGTTTAGATAAGCACATTTTACCGTATTATTGTTAGAATTTAAACATATGGGGGAAAAAACCAAAATGAAGTTGATGGGAGGCCAAAGGAATGTTTAAAGGGTGCGAAAGGGGACGAGTTGTGAAGCGGTCAGACATTCCTGGGTCCTCACATGTTAAACAGCAGGGGGGTGTGAGGCCAAACTCCCCATTTAAGTGAATAAGTTAGCAATCATTACTCTGAAAATGGAAAAGAATTTACATACGGTTGAAACTGATGATTTTGTGGGCGAAACATTTGCAATTTAGATAAAATAGCTTCCAGTTTAAAATAAAATCGGTCTAAATGTGCCCCTGATTACACTTGGAGATTGGTCTTTTGTTCTGATTTTAGTCGATTCCCGATCTTTAGGTTGAACTTATCTAAAGAACAAATCACAGAACGTAATTGTATTTATTTACCGTGCTCTTTCCTTGTAGATGAGTATTGGATATCTAAGCATTGTTTATTGAACCGAATTTTCCTTATTCTTGTTTATACAGGATGATTAAATTATGCTATTGAAGTGGAGTGGAGGGGAGAGAATAGTGATTCCCAGAACGTTGCATGTTAATATTCCTTCTTAAACAGGACGATATAGATGTTACCATTCCTTAAAACTTTCATTTTATCATTAAAATTCAATGATTTAATTTTAATATTATATTATTATAATAATATTTATTTTATTATAATATTAGTTATTAAATGCCAAATTTCAATTTAATTATTAAAAAATAGACGTTATTTACTCTAGTAAGTGGTACTAATTACTTACTACGTACTAATTACTCACGAATTACTAATAACGTATGGAATATAAATGATTTAGTTAGAATTAAAACTTTTAGTTATTTCATTTGGATCTATTCTGTGAATATAACATACGGATGATATATTAGTAAACGAAAGAATCTTCAATAAAATAAGCTAATTGTTATTTTTATCAAAATAATTTTTCTTTTTTCTTTATTTATTTAATGAAATATAAACTGTATAAAAAAAAATACTACCAGTGAAAATGCATACGTTAGAAATGATGACATGAGCAAACTTGAAGAGATACTACCCAGTGGTAGCACTCCCATTAAAATAATTTATTTCACAAAAACATTTTTTAATGTATATATATATATATATATATATATATATAATTAATATAATTACCGTTTATTGTACATTGTACATAGGAATGAATGTATTAAGAAGATTTACATTATTTTTACTTATTGATTTATTTATTAATTCACTTATGAATGCTATTATATTTCTTTACTTTTTCTTAATTTGCTCATTTATTTTTATTTATTAATTTATTTATTATTATTTTTTTATTTTTGTAATTTCCATCTTATATGTATATATGGTATGGACGAACACATTTAGCCTTGT